ATAGTATATTCATGCAGGAAAAATATAAGATGATTTCTTATATTTTGACCTCAGCAGTTAATCTTATGATTCTTCCTTCTTGAAGGTGGGATAATAGGTCATCTCTGGAGATGACCTATTATCCCACCTTCAAGAAGGAAGAATCATAAGAAAAATATAAGGATAATGATTCTGTTTGCCATCCATCATACTTTTAATTTACACAAGCTCTGTACATTTTATTGATTTTTGTTAAACTTTGTTTTTGTTTAATCAAGGTATTGTTCCAGAAAGTAGCTTAAAAAACATAAAAAAGCATATTTAACAAGTTTGTGTCGTCAAATCTGAGGGTCATTCAAAGGGAAAAACGTATATCTTGTAGAAAAAGAAAAAATGAATAGTCTGTTTGATTGTATCTTTTATAGTCGTCTCCCGTTTATTTATTTAGAAAAATAAAAACCATTTTATCGGTGAATACATAATCGTTCGATTAATACAAAGAATATAGTTTAGTTTCGATTTAAAATCAATTTTATGAACGCTTCTTCCTTTTTGCAAGAGCAACATTGGCCAGTTATGAGCAAATAATTTTATTGAAAGCAATATCTAAACAATAAAATATTACAGAATTAGTTTATTTAATGATTAAACATATTAGTTTATTACAAACTACTCGAGAAAAAAAAATGAACAAATGCGTGTCTTATGAGTATATGCCGTCAAATCTGAGGGACTTGAAGAAGACTTGAAGAGAAAAAATATCTCTTATATAAAAAAATACGAATTTATTACTTAATTGTATGTCTTGGTTACGTGTTTAAAAAAAGAAGATAATAATTAATAACAAAGAACAGGTTTATTACAGATTACATGAGGAAATGTCACCCGTTTTTGCCTGATTCAAGGGTAATAAAATATATTCAAATTTATCTCTAATTTTTTGCTTATTAATTAGCATTTTATCGGTAAATGTATAATCGGTTGATTAATACAAAGAATATAGTTTATTATTGATTTAAAATATATGTTATGAATTTTTCGGATTTTTACCGTTTATTTACCGAAAAATAAAAACCGTTTTATCGGTGAATACATAACCGTTTGATTAATACAAAGAATATAGTTTATTATTGATTTAAAATAAATGTTATGAACGGCTTCTTCCTTTTTCCTAGAGCAACCTCGGCCGGTTATGCAGGAATAATCTAATTTAAAGTAATATCTACGCAATAAAATCACAATAATTATTACAGAATTCCTTTATTTAATGGTAAAACATACTAGTTTATTAATGCATAAATGCATATCTTATGAGTTTATGCCGTCAAATCTGAGGGACTTGAAGAGACAAAAAAATATATCTTATATAAAAAGAAAAAACGAATTTACTACTTAATTGTGTCTTTGTTACGTTTTTTTAATAAACGAGATAATAAATAATAACAAAGAACGTTTATTACAGATGAAATGAGAAAATGTCACTCTTTTGGCCTGATTCAATGACAATAAAAACAAATTTTCAAATTCATCAAATGATTTTTCCAGACTTATTTATTAACTAATAACGCTTTTATCAGTGAATATAATATAATAATTTGATTAATACAAAAAATAAATCCATTATGTTGAGTGATCTGATTGACCAAATTACTTCTTTCAATTAATTTTTCATTTCAACCAAGACATAAAAATAATAATTAATAAAAAAAAATAAAGTTGATTTTCTATTTAAAATAAACGTTGTGCACTTCTTCCTTTTTTTGAAGATCAACCAAGGCCGGTAATGCACGAACAATTTAATTTTAGAAAATATTTAAGTAATAACATATTATAGAAATTGTATAATTAATGGATTAAACTGGTCTATTACAAATTACTGGAGAACTAATAGAAAACTGTTCAAATGTTAGTGGTTTAGGTCGTCAAATCAGAGGTAGCTTTCAAAGGGAAAATTAATTTTGTAATAAATAATTCTTTAGCATTAGGTAGTATATTCTTGCGGGAAAAATATAAGGATAATGATTTTGTTTGCCACCCATCATACTTTTAATTTACACAAGCTCTGTACATTTTATTGTTTTTTTTTAAACTTTGTTTTTGTTTAATCAAGGTATTGTTCCAGAAAGTAGCTTAAAAAACATAAAAAAGCATATTTAACAAGTTTTTGTCGTCAAATCTGAGGGTCATTCAAAGGGAAAAACGTACATCTTATGTGAAAAGAAAAAAAATGAATTGTCTGTTTGATTGCGTCTTCTATAGTCGTTTTTTAAGAATAGCAAGTAATAAATAAATAAATAAACGAAGAGTTTTATTACAGACTACTTGAGAACATGTCACCCATTTAGCCTGTTTCTAGAGCAATAAAATATATTCCAATCTATCTGATATTTCCGGTTTATTTATTTAGAAGAATAAAAACCCTTTTATCGGTGAATAGATAATCGTTCGGTTAATACAGAGAATATAGTTTATTTACGATTTAAAATAAATGTTATGAAGGACTTCTTCCTTTTTTTCAAGAGCAACCTCCACCGGTTATACACGAATAATTTAATTTAAAGTAATATCTACGCAATAAAATATTAAAGACTTTGTTTATTTAATGATTAAACAAAACTGGTTTATTAGAAATTACTCGAGAGAAAAAAGGACAATGCATATATTATGAGTTCAAGTCTTTAAAACTGAGGGACTTAGGAAAAAAGTATAACTTATGTAAAAAGAAAAAAAAAGCATTTACTACTTACTTGTAAGTCTTTGTTACGTGTTTTTAATACAAAAGTTAAGAAATAATAAAGAACAGGTTTATTAAAGATTACATGAGAAAATGTCACCCGTTTGGCAATGATTCAAAGGCAATAAAATGTATTCAAATTTATCGTATTTGTCCCGTTTATTTATTTAGAAAAATAAAAACCGTTTTATCGGTGAATACATAATCGTTTGATTATTACAAAGAATATAGTTTATTTTCGATTTAAAATAATTGTTATGAAAGGCTTATTCCTTTTTTCTAGAGCAACCTCGGCCGGTTATGCAGGAATAATCTAATTTAAAGTAGTATCTACGCTATAAAATTTCAATAATTATTACAAAATTCCTTTATTTTATGATTAAACATACTAGTTTATTACAAATACTCGAGATAAAATGCTCAAATGCATATCTTAAGAGTTTATGCCGTCAGATCTGAGTGACTTGAAGAGAAAAAATTATATCCTATATAAAAAACAAACGTATTTACTTCATGTCTTTGTCACGTTTTCTTAAAAAAAAAAAAAAATTAATAACAAATAACAGGTTTATTGCAGATAACAAGAGAAAATGTCACCCTTTTGGCCTGATTCATGGGCAATAAAATATATTCAATTTTTTCTTGCTATTAATTAGCATAACCCTTTTATCGGTGAATGTATAATCGTTTGATTAATACAAAGAATATAGTTTATTATTGATTTAAAATAACTGTTATCAACGGCTTTTTCCTTTTTTCGAGAGCAACCTCGGCAGGTTATGCAAGAATGATTTAATTTAAATTAATGTCTACCCTATAAAATCACAATAATTATAACAGAATTCCTTTATTTAATGGTTAAACATACTAGTTTATTGTAAATACTCGAGATAAAATGCACAAATGCATATCTTATGAGTTTATGCTGTCAAATCTGAGGGACTTGAAGAGAAAAAAATATATCCTGTATAAAAAGAAAAAAACGAATTTACTACTTAATTGCATGTCTTTGTTACATTTTTTAAAATAAAAACATAATAAATAATAACAAATAACAAGTTTAGTACAGATTACACGAGAAAATGTCACCCTTTTGGCCTGATTCAAGGGTAATAAAATATATTCAAATTTATCGGATTTTTCCCGTTTATTTATTAAGAAAAATAAAAACTGTTTTATCGTGAATACACAATCGTTTGATTAATACAAAGAATATAGTTTATTATTGATTTAAAATAAATTTTATGAACGGCTTCTTCCTTTCTTCAAGAGCAACCTCGGCCTGTTATGCAGGAATAATTTAATTTAAAATAATATCTAAGCAATAAAGTATTTCAGAATTAGGTTATTTAATCATCACTAGTTTATTACAAATTACACGAGATAAAATGCACAAATGCATATCTTAAGAGTTTATGCCGTCAAATCTGAGGGACTTGAAGAGAAAATAATATATCTTGTATAAAAAGAAAAAAAACGAATTTACTACTTAATTGTCTTTGTTAAGTTTTTTTTAAATAAAAAAGACACTAAATAATAACCAAGGTTTATTACAGGTTACAGGAGAAAATGTCACCCTTTTGGCATGATTCATGGGCAATAAAATATATTCAAATTCTCCGATTTTTCTTCCTTATTAATTATTATAACCCTTTTGTCGGTGAATACATAAATGTTTGATTGATATAAACAACATGTAAAATAAACTTTATGATCGATTTCTTCCTTTTTTCAAGAGCAACCTAGGCCAGTTATGTAGGAGATTATTCAATTTAGAAGCAATATCTATGGAATAAACATTCTCATGTTTCTACGCTTAATAAAAAATAAAAATTACGTCATTTTTTTACATATTGATTATAGAAATTGTTGATAGTTGTACAGGCTTTTTTTTGCAATTTTGCCAAAATTGACATCAGTTTGATGAAGAAGGTGATTATTAGGGGTTGATTATTTGTTTTATTTCTCTAATGTTTACAAATATTTTACTCTGTTTAAGTACCCTGCGAACGTTCGTGCCAAGATAAAAACTACACAGCGTTGCATGAGTTGTTAATGGGATTTTTTGTATAAATAAAAGAATTACCACAATCATTTAATAAATTGGTCAATTAGAAGGATTGTGGTGCCTTGATTAGCGATGGGATTTTTTAAAGGCTTTCAAGTCGTTCCAAATCGATTTGAAGGTTTTTTCTATTGTTTTCCCCTCGTGAAAAAAAAATCAAAAACAACCGAGGGAAATGTTATCGGCATGGGAAAAAAGAAGCAGAAAAAATGGAAAACTTACCGACTGGATTGGAACCCATTATGCTCAAATTGTTGAGCATGACGGCAGCAGGGAGTGAAGATAGAATTTTGAAGCCGTTCCCTCCACAAGACGAATTGAAACGAAATTCCGTCCCGGGATGGATGATATTCCAACTTCTTTATCACTTGAAATCTCGTCTTTACAAAACTGTCTCCCCTTTTTTTCAAACCTTCGACGAAAGTTTGAGTAAAAAAAAAAAAACAAGATAGCACAGTGTAACTTGATCACATATCTCAGACTGGCCGTAGCCGTACTAAGGCGGAATCCTTCTCTAAATTGAATGGTCGACGTCCTCGGGGGTGCCTAGCTTCCCCTCCACGGCCGCCTTCCCGATTGGTCGTGCGGGGCGTGGCCCGACCCTCCCAGCCGGCCCAACCCCGCCACCCTCGTCGTCGACGCCGACCCTGATTCAATATTCTCTATGTAAATTTCTATTGAAACTCTTTAAGTGTCCGCCCTTCTTTTTTTCATACAAGTTGTGTATCTATTAAATCTGCAGGTAAGATGGAATAGTGTAATCCGACGTTATTGCCCATCCCCTTCCTCCTATCAATTTTTTCCTTTGTCCGCCCTCCGCCCATTCCTGATCCCCTCTTCCCGACTTAATCATTTACTTCTCAAGACTTCTTCAACTGCGCACTAACCTCCACTCATCTATTGATATCCCTCTAGCCCAAGGATCGCGTTCACGCCGATCCAAAATTATCATTTCCTCATCGTCTTCCCTGAATCAACGGACAACTACGAATTGTTCCGGGTTCCACGTGGTCTACGGCCAGATGATACTAACTATCCATTTCAAACGCAACTGCCTAAATCATGGCCAGTTTGGATGGAAGTGCCTAAAATAATGACCAATTTGGAAGTAATAACTAAAATTAAAGCAAGTTTAGGCATAGCCGCTCCATAATAAAGACAGTTGGGACAGAAATGCCCAAAACCATGTCGTATTGTTAAGCAAGTGCCCCATTATAAGTGCAGTTGGGAAAGAATTGCTTCAAAACAGCCAGTTTGGACAAAGTGCCTAAAATAATGGCCAATTTGTACGTACTAACCACATATTAGTGGCCTGTTTGGACCTGCGTCTATGCTCAAAATGGCTTGAATTTGTGGTTAGTACATCGAAATTAGTGAATGGAAGTGCCAAAAATATTGGCCAGTTTGGACATACATGTCTGCAATCATGACCAGTTTGTACGTACTAACCACACATTAAAGCAAGTTCGGGCATAGGCGCTTCATTAAAAGCAGCTGGGATAGAATAGAATTGCATCAAATCTTTGTCAGTTGCGATGGAAGTGCCTAAAATATTGGCCAGTTTGGACACATATGTTTACAATCATGACCAATTTGTAAGTACTAACCCCACAATTAAGCCAGTATGGACGGAAATGCCCAAAACCATGGCGAGTTGTGATGAAAGTGCCCTATAATAAAGGCACTTGGGACAGAATTGCACCAAAAATTGGTGGGATGAATGTGCCAAAAATATTGGCCAGTTTGGACAAAGTGCCTAAAATAATCGCCCCTTTGGATGTTCTAACCTCATATAAAAGCCAGTTTGGGCATAGCCGCTCCACAATAAAGGCAGTTGAGACAGAATTGCATCAAATCTTGGTCAGTTGGGATAAATGTGCCAAAAATATTGGCCAGTTTGGACAAAGTGCCTAAAATAATCGCCCCTTTGGATGTTCTAACCTCATATAAAAGCCAGTTTGGGCATAGCCGCTCCACAATAAAGGCAGTTGAGACAGAATTGCATCAAATCTTGGTCAGTTGGGATAAATGTGCCAAAAATATTGGCTAATTTGGACACAAGTGCTTAAAATATTGGACAATTTGTACTTACTAACCTCAAATTAAAGCCAGTTTGGGCATAAGCGCCCCAATATAAAAGCAGTTGGGGCAGAATTGCATCAAATCTTGATCAGTTCGGATGGAAGTCCTTAAAATAATGACCAATTTGGATGAAAGAACCACTAATTAAGGCTACTTCGGACAGAAATGCCTCCAACCGTTACGTGTTTGGACGAAATTCAAATTAAGACGACCCGAGTGACGAAATTAAAGTCCTGGAAGGTTGTCCAAAAACTGGCAGAGGCTCTGAAGAAAATGGACAGGGTAAATTTCGGTTTTGGAACGGCAAAGCTGCATATCAAATTCAAAAAGCAAGACATACAAGAAACAGACAAGCCCGGCTACACCCCTGAAGGGGTTGAAAACTCCCGGAGGAAGAGAGCACTACACCAACCCCAAGTACATCAGGGGTGCAGAAAAAGGAGGCAACTCGGAAACTAATGCCCAATCCATCAAAGAGGAAAACATTGATCCAAGAGGAAAAGAAGGATGAAGAACAAAACAGAAGGGGAACCTATAACCTCTTCTTACCACAGGAAGACGTGGTAAAATTGGCCACCACCGCCTCACCGAATAACAACTTAGGAGAAAGAAAACTGGGGGTTGAAGACGGAAATAAAATCCACTGCACTGAAGCGCGTCCAGGTGAACCTGAACCATGTAAAAGCCTCTTCACCTGAAAACACCTAGACATCGCTATGATCAAGGAACCATGGGTAAGTAATGGCATGGTAAAAGGGATACCATTAAATGTAGGTAAATTGGTTTACGGTAGCGAACATGACCTAGAGCCGTCATATTACTGAAGCCGAAGTTGTTCCAGGTTACACCTGGTTGCAGGGCAATTTCCCAGGAGAGGACGTACAAAGCAGGTAAAAAAGCTTGTCCAGCACTGAAAAAACAACATCCACTTCATATTGAGGTAAGATGCAAACGCACATCATACCAGCTGGGGCATCACCGATATCAAAAATAGGGGTCAGTCTCTCTTTGTTTATTTATTAACAAACAATGTAGTGGGGAGTAATAAAGGGGACAAACTAACTTTCCTGACTAGTTCTACGGGTGAAGTCTTAAATCTCACACTGGCCAGCAAGTATATTAAAAAAGTGACATGAAACATCTATGTCCCATCACAGAATCATAAGCTTTGTGGTGGAAACAAATAAGACAAACACAGGAGTTTGTAGAGATCCTAAGAGGACTAACTGTCAGTTCTATCAACCATATATAGCTAGAAACAGAAGGGCTAAATGTTACAAATAGAAATCTAAAGTAATTAGATTAACTACCCGAAACCTTGACTAAGGCAATCACTATAGTCTATTAAGGATGTAAAAACCAAAGAAACAAATGTAGAGTTTCATGGTGGAATAATGAATTAAATAGTCTAAAGTATAGACTAAAACTATAAAACTTTTCAACAGATCAAAAGTGACAGGTAAATGGGATGAATACAAAAACTCCCTAACTGAATACAATAAAGCTCTGAGAAAAACAAAAAGAAAATCGTGGAGAAATTTATGTGAAGGATGGCGTAGTAGTTATACACCACAACGGTTAGACGTTTATAAAGACTAGCGTGTCTCAGTATTACAGGGGCAATGTATGCCTGCCTCACTACGGCAATGGAAACAGCACTCGACCTTCCACCCTACATTTTTATGTACAAAAGGTTGCTTTTGAGAGTGTGAACAGACTTCTGAGTTACAAGGAAATAAAACCAGATCTCAGGAGGAGCCACCACGAAATTTTAAAAGGAATTAAAATATTTGAAAAGGCTATAACGATGTGTGACGACTTGAGAGAAAAGCTCAACATTAACAGACCCTTCGAAGTGGACATAGACCCTAGAAACATTTAGAAAAAAGGTGGCCCCAAGTTTCAAGAATAGACCTTAATATGGTAAACAGATGGATCGAATATACAACAGGGAGTAAGTGTATGGATAAAAGGGCCGAACGTTACTCTAGCGAAGCCTATTGGACAAAGCCCAACGATTATCCAAGCTGAAGTCCATACAATACAACTCTGAGCACAGGAGTTAAACACAAATTTGAAAGTTGCCTAGATTTACATACTCCCAAATAGCCAGGAAGCCTAAAGGCACTAACTAAATGCGTGTGCTTTCAACTCTAAATTTTTCTGGGAGTGCCTAAACTGCCCAATGACTCTGGAAAAGCAAAACAAGATTACCTTAAAGCGGGTTACCTGACATGAAGCTATATAAGAAAATGAACACGTTGACCAACTAGCCAAAAAAGGGGCAACCCTCTCACCCATGGGACCAGAACGACAGCTAAGTACTCCTGAGTGTCTAAGGAATAAATTTAAAAAGTAAACTAAGTTAATTTTACAAGCTTGAGCGCCAGGCATAAGCCAAAGAAATGAGAGAAATGAGAAAATAGAAAAAGACTCACCTTAGTCCTACCTTACCTTTATTCATAAATGATACGAATTGATGCTCACGGCTAGTCAGCGTAGGCAAGGGTGAGGTTCGCGTATCAGCAAGAAAAATAGTTAAACAAGTTCAATAGAAAATAAAATAGAATAAGATAATGAGGTAAAGTGTTATTAGTATAACTCTCGTGATATTAAGTACGGGAGTGGGCCTGGACCGTCCAGTATCCAGGTGGGGGCAGCTAAGCCTCGCTGGGCCCTCAGCGTGGTCAGGTGGGGAGAGCGTTCTCTTACAGCAATCCAAGCCACTTGGTTGCAAAGTTGGCACTGGAAAAATAGATTGATAAAAAAAAACTCAAACACTCTAGGTATGAGGCAAGGTTTATAAATCTCTCAAAACGGAAGGCGAAGGAACTCCTCTCTCTCAACAATCCTTATTTTAAGAAATTTATAAAAATTATAGGCCTTTATACCGGCCACTGCCATTTTAACCATCATCTTAAAAAGATGGGTAAAGTTGAGAGAGAAACAGGCCAGCTCTGTCAGGAGTAACCAGAGACATCCGCACACATATTTTGTGAATGTAAAGCGTAAGCCCGTTTACGATACAGCCACATAGGCAGGACTTTTCTCATGCCAAAGGAGATTCACGAAGAAGTGCTCAGTTTTATAAAGAATAATTTGATACAAGTACTCTTAAATTAAGACGAGTGTGTAGAGATTAGTGACCGTTAATCGATAGTTATTCAGATATCGTGAGATGCGCACCTGACCGCATCTCACGATATCTGAATAACTATTAAGACGAGTGTTGTACATAATCAATTTGGATGAAATTGCTCAAAATGAAAGCCAGTTGGGACGGACGTACCATACATCTTAGCTAGTTTGGACCTAAGTATTATATATCAAAGTCATTTAGGACGGAAGCGACCAAAATCATTACCTCTTTGTACGCACTTGTCAAAGTCATACACAAGGACAGGTGTGAGCTAATACA